GCATTACTATTTTTTTAAATGTAACTTTCTCTACCAAAATCAAATTTGTTGGGAAAAAAAATTGACTTCTCTTTCAAGGTGGCGTAAACATATTCTGAATGGTATAGTTGATTTAGGATTATATGCCTATCATTTCAAAAAAACATTTTAAGGCAGAGTTGCCATTTAAATTAATTAAAATCTGCATGCATTCCAAACTTGTCTACAACTTAAGTTCCTTATTAAGAACTCTGTGATGTGATTTGGACAGAAATTTGTTAGTTAAAGGAACACTATAGGGTCAGGAATACAAATGTATTCCTGACACTGTAGTGTTAAAGACATATATAGGGTCCCCCCCTTACATATAGTGAAAAACTCACCTTTTTTCCATCACTGCGTGGGCTCCACCCCCAATCCACCACCTTGGTTGACATCATCAGAATTGATGATCTCAGCCAATCACAATATTTTCCCATAGGAAAGCATTGGATTGGCTGAAATCGTCAATTCTGATGATCTCAGCAAAGGAGGCGGGCCAGGGGTGCATCCAAATGCCACCCTAGCCAATCAGCATCTCTTCATTTTCTCTAAAAGGCAGTGTTTACAGCAATTTGCCTGCAGGGACTGACTATATTCACCAAAAGAACTAAGTTAAGCTGTAGTTGTTCAAGTGACTGTAGTATCCCTTTACATTTTTTAATCTTAGTTCCTCCTCTATTTTCCCTTCCTCCAAACTACTTCACCTTTTTCCAGAGGGATCAATTTATATTTGTCTCTCTGTCTTGTATCACACAAAAAATGTGTCTATTGTAATGGATAAGATGCTCTGTTCCATTTATTGGTGGTTCTTTCTTTAGTATTAGGATAGGTAACTGATTTTCATCAGTTCTTATCCTGAGAGATTATTATTGTCATCTTTCTTTGGAATTAACATTTTTTTTTATATGATTTAAGACTATTAGGGGAACCTAAATTTAGATTTTTTTCTCTTAATTTGTAATTATGTTTTCTTTCTTTCTCCATCTCCCATTCCTTTTTTTACTTAGATATTTATTTTCAATGCAATTAGCCACATATTTCTTACATGGACCTTCATAATGATCTTTTTTGATTCCACTTCTATTGTCTCTACGGCATATCCTTGTTTTTTTTTCCGCATTATCATATTTATCGCTCCAATATTTTCTTTTTTTTTTTATCTCTATTGTGTCTCTACTGTTTCATCCTAATTGACGTTGAATTTTGTTATTCATTCATATTCTTCAGCACTACTGTGAGTAACAGAAACGCTTGTTGTTTATTTATTTCTGCATCTAATTTTTCTAATGTGTATTTTCTTTTTATTATCAAGTCTATCATGAAAAATGAAAGAATAAGATTCTTAACTTTATGAATCTTAATTCCCTATGTAACTGTGGCTGGTTCCCTTATTTACCACTATAATGTCTTAAAGCATAGAACTTAGTAGGGCTAACCATTCAGATATCTTAGCCATAATTTTATATAGTTAGTGTAAGAGATCCTCTATTTAACATATATAAATAATTGAGAATACAATATAAAATAGGGATTGTCTTGGAAGCAATAAAGTTTTGTCTTTTTAGGTATTTATCATATAAAATATAAATATAGACATATAAAATCCACTATAGCAGAGTTTATAAGATTAAACTAAATGCTTGCAAATATCATTAATAGGTTAACATACCCTCCTGAACATGTCATCATGTCAGCCTCTCTGTCATTTTAAGATGGAGCAGCGTCTGTCTCCAAGTCTCTCCTCTGTTTCTTAACATTTAAAAGTACACCTATTTATACCTTAGGTGTCGTCATTTTAGGGTCACTGTAGTTCATATATAAAAAAGTAACTTTTTTACTTTATTCATTTTAGGACCTCCCTTAACTTGGCAAAAATAGAAGTCCATAACTAAAGGGTGTATGTGTCATGGAAATTTTCCTGACTTCGGTCAAGATGGCATCTTAAAGTCTGAACATCCTTATCTACTAAGGTTACCACAGTATAGTGTGTACTGAAAGAGTCGTAGGATAGCCTTGAAGCTTGTTTATGCATTATTGTTATTGTAATTCATCTGGGACAAAATGGCGTAAACATAATATGCACTGTAGGTAGGTAAGAGGTTATTTCTTAAAGAAACAGTTATGAAAAACAATATGTTCCATTTCTAACACCTTGTCAGTTTGCAATTTCTCTTAAAGACAAAGTACACAGTTTAAGAAATACAACATTTGATTCTAAAACTTGTAATATTTGCATTTGCCCATAACACCCTCTTCATTAAACTGTGGGCATTGTAGAGCATTTCTTCCTTAAATTAGTAAACCATATATAAGTGTTAATAATAAGTGAATGGTGGGTTTATTTCTACACATGTTAAGATGGAAGTTAAGTGTTAATATTCTAAAGGAGAAAATATGCAAATAGATTGAGTAAATTTATAAAATTAGATAGTCTTAATACAGTAAAGGGATGCAATTTTTACACACAGAATTAGAAATTGATAAAGTGTTAGGAGATTCTGGTAATTTAAATAAGAATCACGGAAAGAATCAACTATGGAAGGATGGATTATGTATACACAGTAGGAAGATAAATTATTCACGAAAATATATAAATAATTATCATAGGATTAAAACACATGGTAGGATTTGATATACTTAAGAGATAGATTTGTATATATTGTCACACAAACACACAATTGGTTGGGTGGTAATAGTAAGTTATATAAGAAGAATGGCAGATATTCTATAACCAATTGGATAGATCTTTTAAAATAATGGAACTACATAAATTGTTAGTGATTATATATTCATAACTATCAGGGAATCTAGGTTGTAAATAAGATTTTTTTTTTTTTTCTCTCCTCTGTGTATTATATGAGATAGTACAGTTTTCTTAAATATAAGGAATAGGATTTTCAGTTACTCTTCTCATACCGCCCCATCAAGTGTCATCTCTTCTGTTGACACAAATTCCGTGATATGGTGAATCTAAACACCATCTCACGAGGACACAGATGGCCCTGGAGTGGTATGCCGAGAGGAAACCTTTCGGGAGCCAGGCTGTGTTGGGCCAGACTGGGTGTTTTTCCCATAAGGTTTTTGTGGGTCTATGTTCAATGGACCTTTTGTGTTGTATGTGAATGCATTGCAGCTCTCTTGGGGTCAGTGGAAACAATGAGTTTTGATTTAATATGGTAAAGATGATTTCAGTTAATGTCCAAGGCCTTAATTCTTTAACCAAAAAATCTTTAATCTATGATTATATGTTAAGAAATAAAGTGGAAGTGGGCTTTTTTCAAGAGACTCACTGGTTGGATATGGATAGTCAGGGCTGGGGTGGCTCAAAATTCCCTATAATGATACATGCTTCTTTAAGTGGAGAAAAAAAAAGAGGAGTAGCAATAGTATTTTCCCACACATTAAAAGTGGATATAATTCATCAAATTAAAGATAAGGAAGGTAGATATGTTATAGTTTGTTGTAAATTGAATGAGATACCTTATACATTGACTAATATATATCTGCCCAATGACTTTCCTGCTCCAACCTTAAAAAAGGTCTTAACTTTAATGGAATCTGTCAAAATAGGTACATGTTTGGTGGCTGGGGACTTTAATAGTGTATTGGATCCGATATTAGATAAGAAGACATCTTCAATATTATTACATCAAAAAAGAACAGATAAATTGGCAAAATCTATTAAGAGAAATATGATTAATTTTGATTATTTTGATCTTTGGAGAACGACCAATCCTAATTCATTGGAATATACGTTTTTTTCACGGGTACATCTTTCGTATTCCTGAATAGATATGGTTTGGGGAAATATGACAGCATTGACGAATATTAAATATTTTAAGATACTTGATAATACTTGGTCAGACCATAGTATTAATATGTGGGAGATGAAGAATCAGTGGATCAGGATTGGTCGTGATACCTGGCGTATGGATGATAATTTGTTAAAATCTAAGATCAATCTTGATATATTGGAAAAACAAATAGTAACCTTTTTTCTTGAAAACGATCCAAATGATACCTCATATACAAATAACTGGTGTGCTTTCAAATCTACCATGAGAGGCAATATAATAAGTATTCAAACAAGATATAAAGTAGAAAATAATAGATCTTTTATGGTATTACAAACAGAACTGAAAAAGGCTGCAAGTAAGAACAAGCAGTTTCCCTCTAAAGAAAATGCAGACGAGCTAAAAAGTATCCAGAATAGAATTAATAATTTTCTTATAGCAAAGAATGTAAAAATTAGGAATAAACTCAAAGCTAATTACTACTATAAGGGAAATCGAGCAGATAGAATTATGACCAAAAAATTAAGAGATAAAATTGGATCCAATAAAATAGTAAAGATAGAGGATGAAGACGGGGTATATCTGGACCCCAAAAAAATAGGGGAGAGATTTAATATGTATTATGAGGCTTTGTATAATTTAACTCCCTCGATAACCAAGGACTATCTGAGTAAAATTAATAATCCTAAGATTACAATAGAACAAACTAATAAGCTAAATACTTTAATTACAGCTCAGGAAGTAGAGGTAGTAATAAACAAATTAAAACCAGATAAGACGCCAGGTCCAGATGGTTTCGCAAATATATTTTATAAATCATTTAAAAAACTTATTGTTCCCCACCTAACAGACATGTTTAACGAAATTGTATCAGTTGGTAAATTCCCTACAGAAATGTTGAGTGCAAATATTCTTCCAATTCTTAAAGATAACAAAGATCCTCTAAAGGTAGAAAATTATAGACCTATCTCCTTAATCAATACAGATGTTAAATTATTTTCTTCAGTTTTGGCCCATAGATTAAGAGGATTAATGGATAATATAATTAAAAATGACCAAATCGGTTTTGTACAAGGTAGAGATCCAGTAGATAACTCTAGAAGATTATTGGATCTGATAGATGTATCTAGAAGAAGTAACAAACCTTTATTTGTATTGGCGGTCGATGCCGAGAAAGCTTTCGACAGGGTCGGTTGGGATTTTTTAAGGAAAACGCTGGAAAAATTCGGAATTCAGGGAAGGATGCTAAATGCTATTCTGGCATTATATGAAGGTCCTAAAGCAAGAACAGTGGCCCCAAACATATGCGCAGAGTGGTTTACACTTAAAAATGGTACGAGACAGGGATGTCCTTTGTCGCCGATTTTATATATAATGACAATGGAGATTTTAGCCATTAAAATAAGAGATAACCCTCAAATTAAAGGATTCAAACTCAGAGAAAAAGAATTTGAATTAAATCTATATGCAGATGATCTGATATTGACCCTAACCGACCCTGTCGAATCGCTTAAAGCACTGATGGCAGAAATAGACAAATATAGTCTGATCTCAAATTATAAAATAAATGTAATTAAATCCACTTTTTTAGCAATAAATATTTCCAGAGATTCTATTCAACAGATTAAAGATAAATATAAATTTAATTGTAATAAAAATTTGTTAACGTATCTGGGTATAATTCTCACTGATGATGTTAAAGATACGCTCCAAGTAAATTTTCTGAAAACATTTAGATCGACACATGAGTCTTTAAAGAGATGGAGACAAACTGAACTGTCTTGGTGGGGCAGAATTAATTTGGTTAATTCGTATTTACTACCTAAATGGTCTTATTTATTCCGTATGATCCCCTTGAGAATGCCACAACCATGGTTATCTATGATACAACGAGATATAAATAATTTCATATGGAAAGGAAAAAGGCCGAGGATGAATAAACAACTTTTGATGCAGAAGACTAGGAAAGGAGGGATAAATTTTCCAAATGTTACTATAACTTATCTAGCAAATATGATGTTCCATATATATAAAACACAATTATTAAGTTCAGAGGAAGTTGGTTGGTACCAACTAGAATTGGAGATGACAGAAATGGAAAATTTACATCATTTGATTTGGTTAACTAAACAAGATGAAAGAACCAAAAAGGTCTGTTCCTCCAATACATGTTTGAAATCTATATTAATGGAGTGGGAAAAGTTGAGGATTAATAGTGGTTTATGTAATAAAATATTGGGAAATTTTAACCTTAGTATTATCCAACTAAGGATGAAGGATCTAAATTTAGGGGAATGGACAAGGAAAGGTATTGACTCTATAAATCAAATAATAATGGGTGACAAAATTAAATCATTTGAAAATCTGATACAAGAATTCTCATTACCCTGGAAGGAGTGGTATAATTATTTAAGAATTGGAAGTTTTATCAAACAATATTTGCTATACCGACCTACAGTGGGCATAGAAAACCTGATAGTTTTATTAAAAAATGAGATCGTACCGCAAATAGTCTCAAAGGCAAGGATTGCTCTCCTCCAAATTGAAGCTCCAAATTTAAATGCAAATATCCAAAAATGGAGTAAAGAGTTAAATGTACAGATTCTTAAGTCTGAATGGGATCAAGTACTATATCAAAACAAGTAAGATAATCCATTGTCTGAACCTTCTTGAAGTATTATTTAAATTAATGAACCGCTGGTATCTAGTCCCTACCAGACTAGCCAAAATGTATATCTCCAATTCTCCAATTTGTTGGAGATGTAACGAAAAAGAGGGGACCTTTGGACACATATGGTGGGAGTGCAGTAAGGTGGAAATCCTGTGGTACATGGCTTTCGATTCATTGGAGAATATCACAGAATTAAAAATCCCTAGGGGTCATCATAATGGTTTATTTCACTTAAATTTGCAATCACTCCTTTTCAAGGATAAATTTATATACGTCCATTTTGTAGCAGCAACAAAAATAATCATTGCAAGGAATTGGAAGAGTAGTGCAAATTTTACACAAGCCCAATTATATTCTCAAGTCCAATATCAATTAAATATGGAGGCCCTCGGACATCAGTCAATTAAAATTAGAGACGTCAGTAATTTTTGGAAAGAAAAAGTGGAGAGTATGGCCAGATAAAATTCTGGATAAAATTAAAGTAATTAGATCAGTTTCTCCCTTTTTCCTACATCTTTATCTGTTTAGTATATTAAGGTAGTGAAATAGAGGTGCCACTGAAATACCCCAAGAAGAGTTTGCAATGCATAAAAATAAATGTTTGTCTTTTATGTTTGTTATGTATATCATATTAATGAAGTTTGGAATGCCATCTACCCAATTTAAGTAATAATTAATCGTGAATTAAGTTGCCTTATACGATAGATAAAAGGAACTTTAATATTAGAGGGATGCTGGATAAAAAATTTTTAGACATGTAGATTGATTTTTCTTCTTTCTTCTTTCCCAATATGGCATTTGGTCTAGATCTAGAAAATAATTTAGTAGAATAATGAAAAGGGGAAAAAGCTCTAATATCACAAAGGCTATTATGTGTGCAATAGTATTGAGTATACATATAATTTTACAATTTTTATCTAATTGGTTGTAGATGGCAATACTTTTTATGTTTTCTATATCATTAAGGTTGATGGTAATGCCTTGTATGGTTATAAAAGAAAAAATGAAATAAACAAATTATAAAAAAAAAATAAAAAAAAAATTAGTAAACCAAAGTTCTCCAACAGTCTTTAGGTTTTTGTGCTCCCAGCATCTTTGATCATTGTTGTAACAGTAAAACATCTGTAGTGTGATCTTTGCTTGTAAAGATGGTTGATTAAAATGAGCAAAGCTTGTGTCTGGGAAAGAATTGAAAAGAACACCAGGTTCCAGAGTAAGATATTCTTGGATTAGTTGTAGAGTCCAGCTTTCCAAGTATTTGGCTAGAATTGGTTGCAGATATTGAATCAGCATCATCTGTTATCACCGTGGTGATGGTGTTGGTATTTGTCTTTGTCTTTGCTTTTTTTATTTTGTTTTTTCCATGAAAACATTTTTAAACCGTTTATGATGTGTATAGATTGGATACTCTCCAATATTCTTTTACGGAATAAATTATTTGACAGCATTTCCAAGACATTGTCTTAAGTGACATGGATCCCATTATAGTAAATGTTATGTTGATAAAGCAATCGAAGTGGATACTCAAGAACGCCTCTTTTTGCTGTATTGGAATTTTTGTAACATCTCAGTGAGACATCTCAATGACATCAGGTGCTGTTGTGCTAAAAATGTTAACGGGTAAAATCTGCGTAAAAGTCTTTACATTTGTTATACTTTGTATAATAATGATAGATGACATAGTAACATAGTTAATCTTTCTAGTGTTTTGTTTTAAAGATAAACATCCTTGTATATGATTTAGAGATATAAGGATAATTTGAAGCAGCAAAGTATTTACCACCTTTGTTCACAATGATATGTAAAATTACATTCTATTTAAATGTTAAAAATACTCCTTTATTCAAAATCTCTCAATATTTAGAATAGTTGCTAATTGGAAATTTGACATTATTCATCTTTCTTTGTCCTGTTAGGTAGGAGACAATTTATTCCCTAAGTTACAATTAGTAAATATAATAACTACAGTTATTAGTGGCTTAAAATACCAGAAACACCCAAAAATTGTCTTAAAAACATTTTTTTACCAAGATCTGACAGCCATTGTGGAAAGTTACATTCCAGAGATTGGATGCTTAACAATGTGAATCTTAATTGTTTAAGTATATTTTTCAATGGCTGTTGGGTGTAGCTTAAGATAATTTTAATATTTATTATTTCTAAAAGTGAGTTAAGAAAGCACTCAGAAACAATATTGAAGGTACTTATATTTTAACTCTACCTTTGTATAAGTGGTTTTAACACATTTTTTTTATAATAATATATATCAGAATCTGTTGTAACTATGACTGGTTGAAGTGGGGGTATGTTATAATCAGAATTTGAATTAATAATCATATGCATGATGTATTGATTAAACAATCAATAGATGTGGCAGGATCATTGCCACCAAGTAAATGTACCTTTAACCATCACAAACCAAATAACATTTTCTTGGTATTTGAAAAACCGATTCAATATTTGATTACGTGTATTTTAATATAGATTTTTTTTATTATTATTTATTTTTTTTTTTTAACATTGCTTAATTTTTAAAGATACCTGCATTTTTAATTAAATATCCTTTATATGTCTTTAAGGCATAAAATATCTGCAAATTAAGATTATATACAAAAATGCATGTTCTGGGTGTGCCCATGATTCATTTTCTATAATTTATTTATTTATTTAATTTTTTTATTATTTTTTTTATCTGGAATCTGATTCCTTTTGGGATGAGCACCTCTCTGAGCCCTCCAGTTTCAGAGGCTTCTTTGGAGGTGACCACTGAAAAGCACAGATTCTATAAAATAGATGTGAGGGGGCTTTGAACAGTAAAGTTACCTTAATTATACTTTTCATATAGCAGTTTTGTGATATGCAATGTGATTTAATATATCAGAGTATTATCACTTTAATTGACACTGCATTTTTTTATGCATTATTCTTTATGCATTATTCTTTTTCCTTTTTTCTTAAATTTTAATGTCTGTTTAGAATATTACAGGCTTTGCAACATCACATTAATTTTGCATTATTATATTTACAATGCTCTTACAACATATTATTTAAATTAGCCTCTTTCAGCATTAGCATTATCTACCACTGGAATTAGTGTAGGATACATCAATATTTGGGGTACTGTAGAATATGCGGTGGAAGTGAATCCCCATATATGAGATTTGAAACTGTATTTTTATTTCTACTCTGTGCCCTAATCTGTATTTATATACATAATTGCGGCAGCATATAGCTTTTAAAGAAGCAATTATTTCACCCATCGTGCGTGGTTGACTTTGAATTTTTTCAAACCTTTTTTTTTTTTTTTTTTAATAAATCCATTCCTGGCTCTGGGAGAGCAGGCTGCTGAATGCATGTAAATGCTCTTATTGCCTAGTCTCTATATATTTATTTATAAACAACACATATATATATATATCAACAACTTTGATATTTAATCTTTGTAATGGTATTTATTAATTAATGACTTTACATCATAAAGAAAGCATATTTAGTGTAATGCTTTGGGGGCACCACTAGGGGGAGTGTGTAGGAAGACATGTGCTTCTGGCAGTGACATCACAGGCCAGCCTACTTACACTGAATAAAACCAGATGGAGGAGAAAACTCTGTCTCTTTTTGCCTCTTTGCCTGTACCTGAAAGATGTAGTAGCAGCTCTGACTTAACCCCAGCCAAAGGGCTGGGGCCTTGTAAGTAAAATGTTGTGTAACATGTAGCAACCTTTTGTAAGTATTATGTTGTAGTTTTGTATTGTATCATAATTGTAGTAAATTGACATTCTGCTAGCATCTGTTTATTTGTTATAGTTATATTAAATATACATTTAATATTACAACGTTTTGTGTATTTTCTATCCACATATTCGACCATAATACCATGAATTATAAAAATATTAATGTTGTTCCGTATTGCTTAATTATTATGTATTAAGAGATTAATATTCATATTTAGGTCACACCACAACATTTGGCGTAGTCGGCAGGATTATGCTTGAATATTGGGGAAAATATAAATGTTATGCATTTTGCTTAAATCATACTGTAAATTGTCTGTCTGTATACAAATGAATAAATGAATGATGATTTGGTTTTAATGGAATGAATGCAGATAGCAGATAGGGATTAGATATTAGTTTTTTAAGGTATCTCTTGTTATAGAACATAGTGATGAATTATTGTGTTGCTTGTTACGTTTTACCAACCTTTGGTCATTTTTATATATAAAACAAAAAACAATTTTACTTTTTGTCTGACCATGTGGATTTTAATCCACCATTGACCACATGGTGTGAATGAGTTGAGGCCTAGTTTCATTGTTTGCTTTCATTTGCATAGGAAAAGACTTTTCACTAAACTAGTTCACCAGGTTTTATTGCTAAATTTGACCCTGTTTGTGTACTAATTTACATTTGTTTGGTATTCATGGATTTGTCTAGTTGAAAAGAGATTTGGACAAAATGTATTAAATTAGTAGTTAAGAAAAAGATACGTTTAGTAAAGCAGATTCAGTGAATAATAGATTTATGTGTGCGTATACACAGAATATTAGTATAAATATATATATGATTTTGACTCATGAAGGAGAGACCACTTTTTAAACAGCTGTGTGACCATGCTTTTCAGCTACAGCTGGGGAGAATTTGTCCTTGTTGGGGGTGGGTAGTCTTGCCTGTATGAGAAAAAATAAACTGCATTGTTTTGTAAATGTAATTGCCTAAGCTAATCAATTTGTGGAGTGTTTTTCAGCTTTATTATCCAGGACTAAGGAATTACTGGACATATGCAGGAACTGGTAACAAATGAACTGAAAAAATGGTAAAATAATTCCTTTGTCCTATTTAGTCTGAATATTTTAACAAGTTAGCATTTTTAACAAAGTAAGTGTAGGGGCTCAGATTAAGATTTATATTATTTTAGAAGCCATCTATAACTGATTGTAATATTTCCATGCTTTGAATTAGGGTGTATCTGCCTAGCGGGTGAACCTCCATAACGTGGGCTGTGATTTTAGTTACAGTAGCGGGTGGTGAACCTGAGCTAGGGGGTATTTAAACGTGTCCGGATAAGGGGGAGCATACCCAATAGTTGTTGTGCAGTTCTATCCTGTATTATTATTTGAAACCCTGTATTACTTATAAGTAGCGTTTTGTAACTTATTTGTAATTGTTTATATATATTGCTCTGGGAAAGGGATAGGCAAAATCTCTGAGAGACCAGGAAATATATTTAAAAAAAGGGCGTATTACACTAGTGGTAGGGTGGCCTATCATGACCATAGAGACCCTTGGTGACTAGTTTTTGTTGTATATTGCCCTGGGAAGGGGATACGCTATTTAATAGAAATTCCTGAGAGACCAGGAAATATACAATAAGTGATACGTGAGTGTACTGGTTAAATTGCAGACATATTGGCCCAGAACCTTTAATCGAGCCGGAAAAGAGGCTGCTGTATGTTTGCTCCTCTATAATTTTGCGGGGGCGGTCACCCCCATGCGGAAAGCCACTGCCATCACAGGGTGGTTAGTTGTGCAGGCCCTTAGCCGCGAGGTGCAAGCATGTCCGTGGAAAGGCTAGAAATTAATAGGGAGTCACTCATAGCTGTCAGAAGTGTTGAACTTTGAGACATATTGACCTATATCCTTTCAGAGGCGGAAGAGGTGTTGTGGTTCACTCCTCTATAATTTAACCAAAGGGTGGAGAGTTATTAAACATGTTTAGGTTGGCTAGAAATGTGTTTCCTGAATTGCAGAGAAGATGCAGAAAGCAGCTATTAGCTGATTGTTTATTTTAAGAGCCAAGTAGAAAATTAAGAAAGTTACCTTGTTGAACAAATTGTTTATAAAATGAAAAGTTTAGGGAATGTATTTATATATGTATATATGCTAAGTAAAGGATTTGGCAGTATACGCTATAAGTGACAAGGAAAAGTAATCCTGATCTGTTTTCTTACCTTTTTCAGATATAGCAGAAACCAGGGGTGGACATTGGAACACAGATAGAATATCAGATGCAGACCAGTGTTTAAATGTTGACCTTTGATGAGCTATTGAATATTTTATTTTATTGTCTATTTAACATGTCTATGCTATGATTTTGTGCATACTGTTCTCTTATTTCTAGTGATTGTATTGCAATTGAAACCCTTATGTATTATTATTGTTGTATGTATGTATGTATGTATGTATGTATGCCTGGGAAAGGGGGGAATTGACCCATAGGGACCAGGGGGTATTTTTGTGTAAACCAAACTGGGGTGGGAGGGCTCTAACGAGGGAACCCCATTGTCCAGTAGGTGCTTGATTTTGTGTCTGTGTAAAGTGCATGAGTGGTTGCAGTTCAAAAAACAAAACAAAAAAAAATAAGAGGGATAAGAGAAAGTAGGCATTTTGGGTTATCTATACATGTTTAAATAGAAGGGTGGTAAATAGGAATGTAATTGTTTTGATTAATGTTTAGATTAAATTGGTTAAATACGGCAGTGATAACGAGTGTTTAGATTAAATTGGTAAATGCAGCAGTAATAACGAGTGTTTGGGTTAAATTGGTAGATACAGCAGTGATATTGTGTTTATCTGTGAATCAGGAGTGTGCTGGATGTGAAGAGAGGTGTGTAGGTATTTATCCAAACGCCATAGGAAAAAATATGGTTAAGACACCACAATCAAATAGTACTTGTGATGATTGGCACAGTTATTATTTATGTTTGTGTTCGTCATTGCCTGTGTTTTCATTCAAGAACTTTCAAGCAAGGATATTTTAAGCAGAAGCAGAAGAAGAAGAAGCACTGGACACTATGCTCAACTGTTGCTGTAAGGAGAAAAAATATTGCAGCTAAGAGTGGTGAGAGTCGGAACAAAATGCATCAGGAGCAGGAAACTGTTACGTCAAGGTGGTTAATGGTATAAAGAAAGAAAAAACAAAACAATGTGACCACAAACACACAAAAGTCCTTGATCACATGAACTGTTTCATTCATCCCTGTCTCCATGCGTATGTTCTATGAGACTGTCGAAGAATAGAGTATCCAGTTTCCAGGACTAATGTTTGTGAAAATTCCAGGCACACAGACCAGCCAGAGGCTACAGAAATCGAGTCGGTCTGTGCCATGATTCATAGGTGTTATGAGTTTGTGGTGTCTAATACTATATTTAGCTCCAAAACACATCCTCACATGAACACAATATCATTGGTTAATCTAATAAAACATGGTTTGAGTTGTTCATTATTATAAGGGTGGGTATGTGCCTATTTCCCAACTGGTAATGCATGTGCTCAATGGTGAACATTTATATAAGCAATAAAATGTTAATGGGTAATAATTAATGGGTAAATGGGTATCGTTCTTCAAAAGGTGGGTTTTGTTGTAGGGCAGGTAGTGTTAAAATGGGGAAGATTCACAATTTACTGGTTTTATAAATGCTTGTTTTATGACATAAGTCAAAGGGTGGTTTGTAATGGTATTTATTAATTAATGACTTTACATCATAAAGAAAGCATATTTAGTGTAATGCTTTGGGGGCACCACTAGGGGGAGTGTGTAGGAAGACATGTGCTTCTGGCAGTGACATCACAGGCCAGCCTACTTACACTGAATAAAACCAGATGGAGGAGAAAACTCTGTCCTCTTTGCCTGTACCTGACTGAAAGATGTAGTACCAGCTCTGACTTAACCCCAGCCAAAGGGCTGGGGCCTTTTGTAAGTAAATATGTTGTAGTTTTGTATTGTATCATAATTGTAGTAAATTGACATTCTGCTAGCATCTGTTTATTTGTTATAGTTATATTAAATATACATTTAATATTACAACGTTTTGTGTATTTTCTATCCACATATTCGACCATAATACCATGAATTATAAAAATATTAATGTTGTTCCGTATTGCTTAATTATTATGTATTAAGAGATTAATATTCATATTTAGGTCACACCACAACAATCTTATTTTATGTTATTTTATGAAAACCTAGTTTATGAAATTCATTGAGATTACATGTGTCTGATCTGATAACAGTCAGTAGTACAATATCATTGTTCTAATTGCCTTACTGCTAGCACTACAGGTACGGTGGGATAGTACCACTGATTTAAGTAAGCTTTCCCTTTTAAAATTGGTGGACTTTAATCCTGTCATTGCAATAGACTAAAGACTGTACCTAAGTAAGCAAAGTCATTATGTGCAGGAATTGTGCACTTTAAGTAGTAGAATACTTATGCTATTGAATTGAACTGGGCTGGCTGCTTAAAACATCATTTAGTATCATTTGGTCACATTTAAAGCTGTAAATGTATTTAACGTTTTATTTAAATAAGCCTTTAATAATTTCAGAAATAAGCCTTTAATAATTTCAGTTTAAAAGTTATCAGGAGATCCTGTATAATCACAATTCCATCTTGCCCTGATTTATCCTACATATATATTATATTTAATTATTTTATCAATATTTATTTTTGAGGAGCATTTAGAGAAGCAAAGGATGTATAACCACCTGTTGCCCTTCTGTTATATTTTTTGACATTAACAGATTTTATAGGAGGGTAGAATAATTCCAACTCTGTTAAGGAAAAATATAAGCTAGTTCGGATATAGTATTTAAAATATATGCTGCAGTATACTGCATTGTACTGCAATTATTATTATTATTTATTTATTTTTTTAAAAAGCCATGACTTTCTCTTTATGGCTGTATGTAAAACAGTTGTTCATAATTTGAAATATATATACAAAAAAAAACAACTTCTCAATTCCTTGGAATGGAAGCAATGTTTACATGTCTCTATCTCTGCAACCTTGGCTGGAAACTCCAGACTCCAAAAATAGTTATGCTGTTATAATTCCTGATTTTTTAATCAACAGCTAGTGTAACTGACAGTATGGAAATTATCACTGTTTTATAAATCTTTTCTTATATAGTGGATGTTAAAATCCTGTCTGTCTGTTGCTTATGTGGCATGAATGTTTTCATTAAGCCATAATGCAATTTTCTTTGCATTCTTGGAATCAGACTTCAAATTTAATCGCTTTGTCTTATCACTTTTCTTTTGTCTACATTTTGCATTAATCTTTTTCCTGCACATGCATTCTAAGCAGCTACAAAGAGAACATATCCCCCTGCCTGCAATCCACTGTCCTGGAACTAATGGACCATGCTATGCTGGTGTATTAGGCATATTAGGGAGTTTACCAAATATGTATATTTGCTCTCTTATGATATTAAGATTCAACAAATTTCAACATTGTATGCTAATTACAATGTACCTGGCACCTGAACTCAAAGTGCCTTGTACAAGTTCACATTAAAACCATCTCTCCATGATGAAGATCTCTCTCTGAGTCTGGGCTACAAATAGCTCATTAGATTCTTGGTATTTCAAGTGCGCCATGACAAAGTATTGTGTCTTCTCTTACGTATAAGAGGTTACCTAGGTATTTATTATTTTATAATTAAAGCTTCCAAGTACAATGTCCCTTCGTGGTCGCCAATTGTAACCGTGGCTGGTTCCCTTTTTTACCAATATAATGGTAACTGTCCGGGCGGCGGTGCGAGGACCGGGACCCAGTATGCCTGGTGTTCAGAGTAGGAGTCACAGTGTGGAGGCGGATTAGCAGGGTCTGTTGCTGGGTAACCGCACGCCCCCTGGTGTTGGCACCAGCGTTTGTGCAGCCACATACCAAAACCCTGATGCAGCTACAGCGGATCCCAGGAACTAGGAGCAGAAATTAAGCAGATCTCCCAGAGCTGAATAGGGAGGTACTGCAGCAAGAATGTATCCAGTACAGAAACAAGGCAAAACTAGAGATAGGCACCAAACATGAAAAACAAGACAGAACTAATAGAACCCAGAACCAGAGAAGGATAGGAAGCTAAACCCAGAACATGGCTGATATCGGCATATCTAATGGCTAGTGTAGGAACTCACCTATTGAGGCTTGCCTTGACGTGGCAGGTGAGCTTACATATTCAAATGGCCATTAGAATAAAACCAAAGAGCCTCCATTTCTGTTTAAACGCACATGGGGATTTAGGCCAGAGCGCAGGTAACGTTTTCTTTGTTTTTACTATGTATTTTAAGCTGTTGGATACTAAGCCACTGCTGCTGTAAGCGCGGTGCTTTATCTTTGTGTTTAAACCCAGAACATGTACACAAGACATGAGGGAAACATGAACATAACATGGGCAGGACAGGACAGGACTATACATGGACTGGGTATACAAACTAAAACAAGACAAGATAAGATAGGCAAAACAAGAGGAGAAATAACTAAGCACTATATATGAAAATCATTGGGATTTAGTCACATTATATGATCATACATTGCATAAGCCTGCCAACAACACCAATGTACCCCATATCTGGCAGGTCCTACACTGCCTAATGTATGCTAAAACAACCAAAGAAGAAGACATATATAGCACTTACCTGCAAGAAAGGGCAGAAGCCTTGAGCAGCTGCCTGCAGGAACACTGAAACAAAAAGGAATGATGGAAAACAAACGGGTGTGGCAACATAAAACATTTAAATGAATCCAAGAGACTGGGAAATCCAGGGACGGAATATAAGAATGAACCCAGAAATCCCAGCATAAAGAAAACCAGACATAGTATAGAAAACCAAAAAAAACAAGAAAAACTAAACAAGAATTGTAAAAAGAGTACTGGATACCAGAAGCCAAGGCCAGACATCTCCACAGAACAGAGCAGGATGTGACACTCCCTTAACATGGCAAAAATACAAGTCCATAACTAAAGGGTGTATACGTCATGGAAATTTTCCTGACTTCGGTCAAGATGGCATCTTAAAGTCTGAACATCCTTATCTACTATGGTTACCACAGTATAGTGTGTACTGAAAGAGGCATAGGATAGCCTTGAAGCTTTCTTAAAGAAACAGTTATGAAAAACAATATGTTCAATTTCTAACACTTTGTCAGTTTGCAATTTCTCTTAAAGACAAAGTACACAGTTTAAGAAATACAACATTTCATTCTAAAACTTGTAATATTTGCATTTGCCCATAACACCTAGAGGTGATTTTTTTTCATGGGTGGCTATTTACCTTTTAATACAAATTTCCTGATGCAAACATTTTTCCAAGGATCTTTGTCAGTCCTTTAAGTCAATTCTGTGCATATTTTAGTGCGCCCTGTGGGGACAGGCGTAATGCAAGTTTGTGTCTCCTCCCTCTATCCTTAACTGCAGTCCCCCTTTACCTTTCGTTATTTTTTTTATTTTTTTTGTCTCCTGCCTTCCCTCTCTCCTTCCTTATCTCCCTCTACCCTCACTGGCTCATAGCATGCACATGTGGAACAGGATTGAGATATGGGGTTCAAGTTCAAAGATGCACCTTGAACTTGGAAGAAATTATGACCCTCTTACAAGTTTATTATTTGGGGAATGTGTGACAAATAAGGCACAAATACAAATGTATAGAAAAATATATATTTATATTGACTTAGGTTACTGTTACAGGTTATAAAAGAAAATACGCAATACACGTTATAAACACATCCAGTCTATAATCAATAGATCCACTGATGCCATGAAGGGGTGTACACGGTCTACAACAATCTCTAGATAGGTGGTTTTTGTTCAAGTAACATCCACATGAATGCCAGGTCCCAAGATTTCCCAGCAGAACTATGCCAGCCTGCCTTCTTCCAATAGTGCATGTTGCTTCCATCTCCTCCCCAGGTAAGCAACACACACGCACCTGGCCATCCATCTGAGCTACCCAAGCCTGTACGTAGCAAACTTTGATGCACTGTATGTTCTGACACCTTTATATCATGGTCAGCATTACATTGATCAGAATTTTGGGCTACAGCAGGTCTTCTGTGTGATCATGCTGAAAGGCTAACCTTTGCACCCCATGTGCATCAATGAGTCTTCGGTGCACATGACCTGATGCTGATTCACTGGTTGTTCTTCCTTGCACCACTTTTAGTTGGTATTAACCACTACATACTGGGAACACCCAACAAGTATTAATGTTTTGGAGATACTCCAGTTGTCTAGCCATGTCTATTTGTGCCTTGTCAAAGTCACTCACATCTTTTTGCTTGGCCATTTTTCCTACCTTCACATTTGAAATTTAAGAACTGACTGTTCACTTGCTGCCTAATATATCCCACACCTTTACAGGTGCCATTGTAACAATATAAACAATATAATCAATACTATATAGAGTTAGGAATACAAAACTTTATACCTAACACTATAGTGCCACCCCCCCCCCCCTCTGGAGAATAAAGGGTTAAAAATAAAATTTTCAGTTAACCTTTTTCTGATCGCTCTCCACCTCCTTCACGTCAACGGTGGGGCAAACATAAAATGCAAGTGTGACAAACTCTGCATTTCCATGGCCCTGTTAATTTTTTCCTGCATTTGGTAGTTGGATCTACCGAACACCGACCACCCCCCTGGCTCATTAAACTTCAAAGTGACCACAAGATTAAATGCTCTCTGTGGGTGGCTGCTGTTCGTATAACCGAACAACGCGTGCGCTTGGAAACAGCGTCCATCTTGTCTCCCGAAAGCAGGCAGCGAGACTTGGTCGTCAAGTGTCTGGAACTATAAGTCGGACACTTGACTTACGAACACCGGTTATTTTATACGAACGCCTGCTTCTATTCTTGACAAGCCAGGAGAGCGCTATTCGGTGAAAAGGTAAATACGAACATGAGGAGCAATCGCTACCTATGATCCAGGGGAACAGTTCAGCATTTTCTTTGGTTTGGGACTCCCAAAAGTGACCGACTGCTACTTTTCTCATGGAACTTTATTGTAGACTCCATGTGTGCGGTTGGTCAAAACTTTACCCGGTGGCAATTCAGCTGTATTCGTGGGATCTGAGCGCCATTTGGACACGCTGGGCGCTCAGATCTAGGCTATCCGGGAATATAGGATTTATGGGGGTACCTATTAATATTATGTATGTCTTAGGGTGTTTTATGTTTTATATTTTGTACCTCTAGTGCGGGGGAGATAATTAGTTTAAGCAAAGTACAATCAATTATCTCTCAGACACAAAGACTCCTGGGCGTGTTTTACTATGTTTTTGCTGGAGACCCCATGCTGGGGGTCTTTGTATAAAAGTGGGCCATCTGGACATAATAAAATCATTCCTGTTGTACCCTTCATCAAGTCTCAACTGGTGTTTCGGTATGCAAACAAAGAAGCACTTGACTTTAACCACGATCTACTGGAATTTTGGGAGAGTACGAACTAGCATACTATGTAAACAGGCTGTAACCACTCAAGCCTCTAGCCTTTCAGGAGTGTGCGAACTAACGTATCCTACAGGATACAAGGGGTTTGTTACAGCATGTCTTCCCCATAAGTTAGCACTGACTCGATGCTCTACTATGGGGAATTTTAAAACGCAGGACCTCCTCATGCAAAGTGCCGAGTTAAACTCCATGAAAGTCCAGGAAGCGCCTCTAGTAGACAGCCACTAGAGGAGGACTTAACCCTGCAAGGTAAATATTGCACTTTATGAAAACTGCAAAAATTACACTTGCAGGGTTAAGGGTAGTGGGAGTTGGCACCCAGACCACCCCAGAAGTGGTCTGGGTGCTTGGAGTATCCCTTTAATATATTGTACCAGATATCTATTTTTGGACATAAGGTAATTGGTACTTGCCCAAATCCACCCATAGAAGATAAGGACATTAGTCGGGTTATAAAAGATTGAAAGAGGAGAGCGAAAAATTTAAATACCTGATTTAATTACTAAACTCTTTTTTATTATTTTTATTGGCATCTTGCCAAAAGCACCATAATAAGACCCTTCATAATATATTAAACATCACATATCCATTTTCCTATATTCTCTTTTATCTGAAAACTTCCTTGTCATTTTCTGTTACTATTTGCTGATAGTGCTAAACAACGGGATTTCATATCTGGTAACGTGCACTGCCAATTGACATACTCCCTCCGAAGTAGTAGGGACATCATACTGTCCAGAACAGTGGCTCTACAAAGCAGTGTGCTCCCGTTTCCAAAGGATTGGTATAGTATTGCATTTATTAATCCCGATTTTATTAAGACACAGAGGCTCCTATTATGCTGCACTCTTTCTTTATTTACCTCAGCAGCAAAGAAAAATAACATGAAACTAGAAAAGCTAAAATTTTTGGGGAAATTGTGTGAAGTGTTCTTGCCTCCACCAGTAGTCTACAACTGGAGTGGGCGGAGTAACTGTTATCATTTATATAGCACATTTAATTGCAATGTTGTTGCACAATTACATTAAACCATACATTTATAAAAACATTAGCAGGTGTTCAAAAGGCCCTGTCTATGACATCACTTGCTGCTGCAGCCTGGCACAGGTCAGAGTATCTTGGCGGTTGCCATCTTCAAACGTATTTTATCAATCCTACAGCAAAGAGCTTTATATTGTGAGAATCACAAGACCCAGACCTACATTTTGATGCATAGTATGTCTCTGAAGTATTAAAAATGAAGGCAGTCGCAGTTTAGAAATTGCACTTCAAATTTGAGCTTTGTAGAGTGAAGTTTCAATGAATGTCAATGGACAGCGTTAGTTGCAAACAAATGATTATATTGTGAAAACTATCAGGACTATGGCTTAGCCGTTGACATGTTTAGTGGCAGCAGGGATAGCTGAACGTTTTGATATAAGATTTGTGTAGGTGGGCCTGAAAATAAGGGAGTGGTGGCAGTTTAGAAATCATGTCCTGATTTTTCAGCTTTTGCCAGCTCCCACTCTAGCTTTGCCATTCATTCCTATGGGACAAATTTCGCCACAAGAACGACGATATTCCGTGAACCATTCGGCGAAACGTTCCACAAAGTAATAGCAATCCGATCGGGAACAATCTGCACGTTTTGGTAAATTTTTGTCTATGTAGTGTAAAAACTGTGGGAGGAGTTAGGGTGGCAAATTTGGCTATAATAAGAATAATAATATATATGTGAGATAACAATAAGTGGTCTTGCCATGCAAGAACACTTAATAAGAACTAGAAAAGCTACAATTTCTGGGGAAATTGTGTGAAGTGTTCTTGCCTCCACCAGTAGTCTACAACTGGAGTGGGCGGAGTAACTGTTATCATTTATATAGCACATTTAATTGCAATGTTGTTGCTATGCAAGAACACTTAATAATATATATGTGAGATAACATTAAGTGGTCTTGCTATGCAAGAATACTTAATAAGAATATATATGTGAAATAACATTAAGTGGTCTTGCTATGCAAGAACACTTAATCAGTATAAGAGAAACCAGTAAATAACATGAGAGGTATATCTTCCTAGCAACAGGAACAGCCAATCAGCATCCTCTTTATAGCATAATAGGGAGTGTCCAGTATACTATTTCCTCTTTCTTTGCTGCTACCTCAGTTAAGTGACACTGGGTCCCGCGGTTCTTAACTGTGGGATCTTTTTTATTCATATCATTACTGTGGTTAATATAGTTATTATAGTTTTTACATTTTAATTATAACATTTTCATATTTATAAATATACTTAGTTACTTCATTTTAACGTAATTTGATGTATTTACTTAATTTGCTTCAGTTATATGCTTTATTGTATATCCTTTGATAATTTCTTTCCCCTCTGACCTCCCTGGCCCCAAGATTACCACCAATTGAGACTCAGGGACGTCTTTGAGGATCTTTATTCCCTTCACAGCACTATCGCACAGTTTTTTCCCTTCATTTATCTGTCTGGTCGCTGCTTTGACCCCAACTGCCAGAAATCCAAGTTGGGGTTTAGTTATAGTGGCAGCCGGGCAGCTCCTGTGTTTTCCTATTACAATTTCTATTTGTTCACTATTGTGAGTACTTTCATTTCTTTATCCTGTTTTTTACTTTAGGGTTATTCAAACCTTTCCTTTTGGTATTATTTTACTTTATTCATCCCCTTAGGTTTGTTTGTATATTTATGAGGCAGTCTGACAGGCTCTTTCTGTGCCTTCCTGGTCTACAGCAAACATGCAGATTAATGTAGAAGCCTCTCCAGGTATCTCTGGAGATGAGGTTGATTTTCTGCTTTACTGATCCTGCTGACATGCAGGCTTTAATTGACACTTCCATGGCAAAAGCAATGACAAGGCCCTGGTGTTTGTGATGGGGGTTAGGTCTGATTCACTTCACAGATATTTGCCCAGACCCTGCTACAGGCACAGAGATCGACTCAGGCGGCAGTACTATATGGAGTTTCCTGAGTACTATATGGAGGTGTACCTGTACTCATACCTGCTCTGCTTCAGCCTGGCCGCAAGGCCTCATATAAGGCTAACCACTCCTCCAAAACAATAGAGATGGACAGTACCATACCTGTCACGGATGGCGGCGATTAGCAACTTTTTCTTGTTTCCCAAAAAAGGCGAAGGTATCCGTCCAGTGATAAATTTGAGACAGCTCAATGGTTATGAGCATATCAGCACTTCCAAGATGGAAGTAGGGCATTGCTTAAGGGATCTTCTCCAACCAGCAGATTGGATGGTCAAATTGGATCTGCAGGATGCCTATTACAGTCCAACATCAAGATCGAGAACTTCCTGCAATTTACATGGTAGGGCAGGAAATGGAGGTTCAGGTGCCTCCCATTCGGACTGTCTTCGGCTCCATGGTGCTTCACCAAGCTCACGAAACCTATGGTCGCCCTGCTACGGAGTCGGGGAGTACGTCTTATAATATATTTAGACGGCATTTTTATTCTGGCTCAGTCTATTCAATTAATCCGGACATACCTTGCATGGACTTTGACTCTGTCAGAAAACCTAGGCTTCCTGATCAATTGGGAGAAATCCATTATTGTTCCCACGCAACAAATTAAATTTCTGGGTTATATTGGATTATTGTAGATTCTACACTTCAATCTCTACACCTTCCACTGGCAAAATTAGCCAATATCAAGGAGATAGGTGAACACTAGCAACCTCTCAACTCTCTGTCAAACAACTGTTGAGAATGCTAGGCCTTCTAGCGGCATCTATACAGGCCATTTTTCCAGGTCTTCTTGGCTATCGAGCCCTACAAACTTCATCTCAAGGGCAGTGCATCATACACAGATATGGTAACTCTGGACTCAGAAGCGAAGGATGAACTCCAGTGGTGGCTTCTTCACATGGAAGCCTGGAATGAGCGCATAATATTTTGTACAGCTCCAGATTTGCTAATCAAATCCGATGCAAGTTTGCACGATTGGGGCGCTCAATGCGGAAATATTTCCACCAAGGGCAGATGATCAGACCTGGAATCGACACTCCACATCAATTGTTTGGAACTTCTGGCCGGTTCCTTTGCAGTCCGCAGTTCCTCCCCAACTCAAGCCCAATGCGCTATCCTTCTGAAGATGGACAATGTGTCAGCTGTCTGCTACATCAATCACTTGGAGGCACAAAATACAAAATTCTGACCTACATGGCTTGCGATTTCTGGCAATTTTGCCTGATACACAGCATTTCAATCAAGGCAGAATATATTCACGGTCTCTCCAACACTACGGCGGTCTGGTATTCACGCCAACTCAGAGATTCCAGCGACTGGCACTTGGATTCTACAGTCTTTCAAGACATCTGGAACCTATGGGGTATATTGTAAATAGATTTTTTTTGCTTCTCGTTTGAATGCTCAACTTCCCCGTTTTTTCAGTTGGAGACCAGATCCGACAGCACTGGCTATGAATGTGTTCTCCAAGGAATTACAAGTTTCTGCCCTTTGCACTGATTCCCCGTTGCCTTTCCATCTACATCGCCAGTCCGGCACCTGGTGATCGTGGCTCCTCTATCGCCGTCCCAACCATAGTTCCCTCCTTTTCAGGAGGTGTGCCTCATCCCCTTGTTCTCCAAGGTCTCTTGCATCTCATGGTGTAGTTTTCAGGGAACCTTGGTCGGTCGAGGAAGTTTCGCAATCAACTCTTCGACTTATCAAGGGTGCACCCAACACGAGACAGGCTTATAAATCTGCTTGGAGCAATTGGCATTGTTGGTGCATGAAATTAAATTTAATTCCCATATCGGCTCCTTTTATGTCAGTCCTCCATTTTCTGACTTCTATGATGAAGGTAAAGCCTATGACCTTACCGATCGTCCATTTCTGCTCATCTACCCTTACAACGATACTCTGTCTTGTGGGACGTCTCTATTGTCTTGAATTTTTTTCTTGCAAGAGGTTTTCTGACATACGAGCTCTTGAGGTGGTTGCTTGTTCCTTTACTCCAGAAGGTGTCCTCTTTGACATTTTTCGGAGGACAAAAACCTCCTCTAAAATCAATTTTACCCAGTTTTCCCTGATAGATCTCACCTTTGCCCTGTTGCATACTAATGAGA